ATCATCTCATATCGCCAACCACCTAATCTGTGTAACCTTCTTTTTCACACCTCCCTTGAACGCCCTCAGCAACCACCCAGGCACTTTCCCTTGCAACAGAGCTCGCTATATCACCTGCAAGTACACATCTAACACCACACTCATTCAAGGCCCCTCAGGATAATTCCGGATCACCCAGATGGCATCTTGTACCTCCAGCAACCTTATTTACTGTATCTATTGCAGTAAATGGCCAGCCATCTACATTGGAGAAACAGGAAGGAAACTTAGAGACCGCTAATTTCACCTCTAATCTTTCCGTCTGCGTTCTCAAAGACGGTTTTCTGAACTCATACATCAGAAAGACTACAGAAACCAAAATTATCCTGCAGCTAGGATCACACCTTCCCCCTTCTCTTAACAAAAGACTACTTTTCTTCTAAATTCTCTCTATTCATTGCAGGTTTCATTTAACACCTCTCTTCACCTATCCTGACTTCACACCTAGTGATTGGCCTCTGTTTCTGTCCCCTGCTCCCACCCCTCGCTCCTCCTCTCTCCCAGCTTTTGTTCTCCCACTACATTACCTTTGCTTACTGCCCTGTCTTTCTCACACCCGAAGAAGGTTCCACAGCCAAAACGTTGTGTTTTCTTTCTTTTTACAACTTGGAATAAACCTATTACTTGTTCTTAAAACAATATTCTATTCTCCTCCGCCCTGTGAATCTACATTGTTAGAGAATACCCCCCAAAACATTTTCTTTTGAGGAGTTTACTTAAAGTTCTTAGTAATAATACTAATGTTGCCACACAATATTTTCAAAGTATTTGTGTGGTTTCCCCTCCTCCTGCAGTCTGTTGTGCAAAAGCCTGACAGTGTGTAGGGACAGCAGGGGCTCCGGTGTTCACTTCTAATGTCTAATTGCATGTGCTTGATCAAGAATGGCAGTGAAATCATTCGTCTTTTCTTTCCCCCTGCACTGTTCCAAGTAATTACAGGAGGTTTACAGCTATATAAAATTTTCTGTAGCAGAATTTGTATAATTACATTGGATTTGTCATACCAAAAGTACCACCAAATAAAATACTTAGAACCAATTGCACAAAATAAAATTTACAGTTACTGGATGCTTGCAGCATTAAACGGACTTGTCTTGAACCATATACACACATATAGCAGCCTCCAGATGTATAAATACCCACAATGGATAGATAACCATTACAGTATGAAATAATATAATAAGTTAATAAACAAAAATGAATATTAAATAACTCAATACATTAATGTTATATTAATACAAGTTAAATAAAACAGATAAGAAAATGGATATCAACTTTGAAGAACACATTCTTTTAATATGTCTTAAATCATACAGGTGTCCATATTCTCTATTCATAAGCATAACTTCTGAGACTTTAAGGTAAGTATAAAAATGCTAATAAAATATAACTGGTGACTTTTAAATCCCCTAAATGTACAACCTTATGAAATATCCAAGTAAAAGCCTCAAAGTAAGCTACCTAAGAGCCCAGGGAAGCAAATGGATAGAAAAACAAGGTTCACAGAGCTATCAGTCCCATGAAAGGTTGGAGCATGGTTGATAACATTGCTTTCAACATGCGACTACACAGCTCATTAGGCTCAGAGAGGCAGCGCTAGCTCTCCTTGCAAAGCAATCAAGTAGTTAAAGCCGATTTTCATCATCTAAAGTAGTAAACTGCGGTGCTGCCTTTGGGGCTTTATTTTCTCTAATTGAATCACACTAAACCACATCTCTTAAGAGTTCAAGCACATGCTGTTCCAGGCATGGTCTTCAGTGTTATGATATATCATCTGCAACACTAGCATGAGTTCAGATCATACTATATGATCACCCAATGTTCTGAAACTATGAAAAGAGTAACAGAAGAGAATTTAAAGGAATCTTCAATTTCAGATCAGCTGGTTTCTAATACACATTTAGACCGGAGAACAATCTCCTATATTATCCAAATTAAACTAGTCAATTTAATATATATATATATTAAGCATAGTTGTGCTCTAGAATAGATTTGCTGCAAATCAATTCTCTTCAGCAATATCTCTTGTGGTTTAGCTCAGATGTTAGTACCAGTACAAACATTCAAAACTCCATTGTCTAATAGTTGTCCAATTACAATCGCCTTCAGTCTTTTTTTCTTTGTAAATGTCTGAAAAATGTAGAATTGTAAAACTGCAGACTACAGTGAAGAGAAAAAAAAACTGTGCCAAATAAGGTAATCACCATAGAAGGTGTAAAAAAAATACTGAATTAATTAGAAAATGGCACTGCTACTCAACTTCTAATTTCAAATCATAATTTAAGAAATAAAAAGAATAATTCAAGAAGGGAGTGTGGCATGGATAACTGAACCTTCAAAACTACTATTAAGGCAACATAAGGAATTTATCATTTCAGAAAGCAAGGGCCTTCAGGCTTCAGTGTACAACATGACAACTCACTGCAGTGCCTTCAATGTTTGTATCAAACCACTGTCCATTGAGATGCCACTCTGCTTACAGCAGAACAACAGAAGCTTCATCTAAAGGCAGACTAATTTTAAACACCGGAAACAAAAATTATGCTTAAAGAACTGCCTGTATAAGATCTTTTATCTGAAGATGTTTGTTCTGCTGAAGACTTGTGCTTGCCAAAACTGTGACAAGTGTTAATAAATAAATTATTTTGGAGTCCAGAGAGTGTCCGTGCGCCCGGTTGATTCTGTGATGAATATGAGTAATGGCACTACCTTCTGAGTAAAAGAAAGTTTCCTAACCTTGAAAAGAGGGAAAACGGCAAATATCAGCACAGATAAAACTTCATCAAGGTGTAACACTACTCTAGAGTCTACTACAAGAAGAGGTATTTGAATAGGCCCAACAATAATAATCACGTGGTGACCATTAAAGACATTTAAAAGAGGCTGACCAAAGACAAATCCAACACAGTCAATTGCCCAAATAAAATATCGATCTCTAAAACTCCAGTGACAACTAAAAAAAATCCATAATTTTTTGGGGGCTATAGTGTCCATCTTCAGAATGCCCAAGGCTAATGAGAAGGACAAATACTCCAGAGGGAAAAAAGAAAGTTTAACCAAATGTGTGGTCATAGAAGTGGTTTGGGAAGCTAACTGGCACTTTAAAAAAAAAGTAAAACTAGCTTCACCAGGATACCAATGTTTCTAAAATTAATGTTATAAATCTGGAGTCTGAAGTAGAGCTCCATGGTAACAGAAAAATAACTAAATTTGCAGATTAAAAAATGGACTCCCTAGTCAAATGATATACACAGTTTTTGGAGACTCTAACACAGAAAGGTGAAGCTAATGTAGAAAAAGACTTATATCCCTTTAGTGAAGAATGGAAATTGATATTTTCTGTTTTAGAGCTGTTTTGCATCCACTGGTCCCTTCTGCCCCGGTAAGAACTATGAGCCAGATGGATTACAGACCCATGAATGTTACTTCTAAAATAAAGAATTTAAGCCAAAATATGAATGTCTACTGTCAAGAAGTTCAGGCCTGATCACATATAATATGTTATAATATGATAACATAATGCATGAATCAAGCAAAATCATTTAGCCATGAGAGTATAAAAATGAATTCTCTAGATCAGTAATCAGTCTAGTAGAACAGTTAAATCATCAGCAGACTTAAAATCTGGACACAAAACCAGGAGGAGAACTAGAGGTTTGCTGTCTGATATCCCTCATTAGAAATTTACAAACCAAAAGATCATAGAAATAAAAGAAAATGCCTCCTAGTGGTAATCAGTGAGTGGTGGTAAAATACTTCTAAGGAATTAAGCTGAACAATGGGCAATTAGAAATGCATTCAACATTTTTGAAAAATATTCTTTGTATATGCGGAATAATGAAATACTGAATATAAGACATGATTTGCATGATAAATCAGCTCTTAAAATACCTCAAAATTACCATTGGGACCCTAAAGGATGCTTTGATATGAAAAATAAATTTGAAATAAAGTCAATATCCTAAAAAAGAAATATAGATTTGAAGTTACCTAAAAAAAGATAATTAAATCAATTATCTCGCTTCCAATGAAAAGACTAAGTGTCCACTCGCCTATTCAGTATCTGAATGAGAAGAGAATTTTTCAAAGGGGTTTAAAAGCAACCCTATCAAGGTCAGTTAAAGCTGAAAGTTCTGCTTTAAAACCAGTTATATTTGATTAAATCCATGTTAAATGCTAATAACTCGGGAAGGCAAATGCAAAATTGCTGACATTGACTTAGTTAAGAGCACATGCATCGAGGAGCCCTACAACATCCTGACAAAATGGACTGGCAGTTGCTAATGTTTTTCACTGCTCCAATATCATTTCAAGTGCTTTTCAGGGAGCACACCAGTAGGTTTCCCTATAGCTAGCTTTTAGCTCACGTTTATCAGAACCTCCAGCTGATGTGCACATTTAAATGAACATTAGGGCAAAGAGGACAAATATCCACACTCACACAATCCACCCCCTAAAAAAATGACTGCCCTTGAATTAGAGTTCAATTCTTTCAGCTGTTTAATTTTTCAGTTTCTGTAGGCCATCTGCATGCAAAAGAGCCATTTGATCTGAAAAGACATTTATGTTTAGCAGGCAACTAAGAACATTCAATCTCCACAGAAGTGTGCACATAACCTTGACCATCATGAATCCGTTTTACGTATCCAAAAAGAATCAGAACAATACCAGTGTTAGACAACAATGATGCTTGATATAAAAAAATTATGATGAGATTGCCCTTGTTTGCAGCATAGTCTTTGTGTGTAGGAGTGGGGGTAGCAGCAGCTCAAGATGCTCTACTGAAATCAATAATTTAATTAGTAGCCTCCTGAAGGCTTTAAAAGAGATTCTATGATCTGATCAAGAGTGGATTTTTTACCACTGTTGAAAGTCACTAGGCAAGTGGTCAGAACTAGAGAAAAAATAATAACAGTGATGTTATTTTTCAGTCCCACAAAAAGATTGAAACACTCCCCTACCTCTCGCTGAAGAACCAGCTCCTTCGTAAAAAGTGTTGCCTCATCGCTGAACGGCTCTGCCTCCTGGACACCTCCGGGAGTATTCCTGGACCCACGTGGGCATTCAATACCTAAAAAACACATTACAGAAATACAATGGTCTATATGTAGAATAGCCAACCACAGCGGAGAACTTGCAAGCAAAACATCAGGTCTCTAAATGTCATTTTGAAAAAGACCAATTAAGCAAAAGAGAAATGTGCTTTAAAAAACAAACACTCTTATTATTAACGTTGACATCTCTTAAAAATATCCACTTAACAATACTTCAGGATGCTTTAAAACACCTCAAAGGAATTCTGACTGTGGCATGTTTGTCAACAAATCATGTGTGAACAGTTAAAGACAGTCCAGGGCCACACCACTTCATTGCCACTATTTAAACTTTCAAAACGGACACCAGTAACATTTGACTTGCTTAAAATGTATATGCTTTCAGAAATAGAATCTAAAGGAAATTAAGGTTACCCTTTGCAACCATTAACTACTATTTACACATTTTAACATATGATCATTTAATCATTTACATTATTATATTGCTTAAGAGAAGAACGCAACCATAAAAACATTTTAAACTATGTTTTTGGAAGAACAGTACAGATTTTAACCTCAAATTGCCTAACTCAAACCAAGATTACTGTGGCTCTGTTACTTTGTTCCTTGTTTGAATGGTAGATATCCTGCACCAATTTAAAAAAAAATCATGTCTGATTAAGTGCAGTAAGACTAATACATAAAATAGTGGTAGATATTTATTCCATTTAACCGATTCTGTTCATGTGCTGAATGGCACCTAAGATTTTTACACTTCCATCTCATGGATCAGGCATGTCAAAATGCATTGACCTTTTGTCTTCTGAAAAGGTTAACACTTTATATTTTTGAAGTTTTCATATATTACAAACCTTAAAAACCACATTTACCAATTATTCTACACATTTTCAAAATATTATTGCAGGTTTGTTTACTGAAACCAATATCTGGGTGTGTATCTGTCAATCACACAACCCATCTAAATCTAGTATAATGTTTTCATAAACTGTAATCTACTTACAGTACTGCCTCATGCAGCATGTGGTAAAATCCTCTAGAAAAGTATGTTAGAAAAAAAATGTAGTGTAAGTAATTTCCCTCCTATATAATTTAAAAACTCTGCAACACCTTGAATGTATCTGTGAGCAATGTTTCATGTGAAATATGATCTTAACTAATACCTGCTAACCTTTTATGTAATTATACTGTGATTTGTCTTCAATTTAAATAAAATGACAGAAGATTTTAAGCACAATGAATGTTAATTAAATTTGCAGCATGTCATTGTAAAAATAAGCATCTTTTTAATAACGCACATTTGCAAATGTGCAGCAAAGACCTTAACACAAACATAAATCAGCCACTTCAACAAGTCATAATATACTGTACATCGTGCTAATTTCATGACTGAAAATGCAATTACATTGTACTGTATATGCAGAACTCTTATGTTTGAACACTTATATTTACTGGATTCACTATTAGCAGGAGTAACAGTTTGCTTCATGCTTCTCTCCACATAAATCCTTATTTTTACAGCACTTTCCTTAGCAACCAAGGAACACTACACCATAAGGTCCGTACTCCTGTGTGTTTTAACATGTTAGCCAATTTGCACTTGCAAACCACAATGTCTTCTTCATACTTATACCCTTTAGACTGCAGTTTAATTTCTACTTTATTTCCGCCACATTTCTACTGGTGTAACGCTTGTACTGAGCTACAGGTATATGAAAAATAAAACATATTTACATCCATAAATTTGCACAAATGACTAACACTAGCCACTTGTACCGTTTATGCTGGTAAACATCTTGGGTCTTGTTTGCCAAATGTAAAATGGTTGATAGTCGATAACTGTTCCAAGGATCTCAACTTTTTTTTTGTGAAAGAAATCAGGGAGTCAATGGCTGTGTAGTTAATTACAGACTCCCAGAGTCCTTTGTGTGAAATAACTTAACTAGTTATATCCTCAGAGGCAACTGAGACATGAACAACTCTTGAGTATGTGATTTTCAGTAACCTCTTGTTCTCAGTAATTACTTTACTGTATATTTAAGCACTTCTTACGCCCTTCAGAACTGAGAAAAATTACTGCTTCTTTATAATGAACAATTGTCTGGTAGCCAAACTTTGCCTCACAAAAACAGCACTGACAGATATGTTTCCCGTGCACATTAGCCTCAAAGCTACCATGCGAAGAAGACTACTCCTGATTTTTTAACACCGATGCCCAATTTATCACCGTCGGTATGTACACTTTTTTTCACCCAAACTATTTGCATTTCTCCCTGAGACTGAAAGCTCAGCCTTCATGTCATGGCTGCACACTTAGAGGTTCTGCTTCTTTAAATAAAACTGCTGATTTGTGTTGGAAATCCTTAACCCATTAATCAAACTGCACATCCTTATTAATCCTGGTTAGTCTAGTCTCTCCCCCTCTCTACACTACCTTCCCCTGAGCTTCTATGGACCAATCTGACAGGTACAGATGCATGCATGCAGGTATTGATTTAATGGTTTGTTTTGTGGGCAATAGGTTTTTATTTAAACCATTTTAATGAATTAACATCAGGAGTAATGTGTTCACTTCTCTCTTTCATCACTTCAAGAAACAAAAATGTGGGGCTACTGACATCTGATTAGAAGGATGTTTAACCAAGGTCTTTTATCATTGTGCCGAGTCATAATTCATATTCATCAGCAAAGTCTTACATTCCACAGTAAAATTTTCTACACACTTCATTGGAAAGGCTAGGGGGGCCATTCTGTGCCCAGCACAAAACATTTTACACCTACACTTGTTTCAAAGAAAAAAATAAACATTCCAGAAGTTTTTTGGGGAAAAAAATCTAGGTCTCATTTAAAGAAAAAAAGATTTATACAGGAAAAGGGATATGTGCCTGTGGCTACTATTAATATGTTCCCAAAATGACAGCCTATATTAAAAATCGAACTATAAGGTATGAAGAAATTTGGGCTCTATTTATTGGCCATCTAACATTTTTAGTGCACACTCACATATACATACAAAGACACATACACATGTACACTTACACAACACGTATCGCACATTACCACCATATCCCACATTGCCTTTTTTTTTATCCTGAGGGCATTCCTGCATTCCTGCTACTTTTACTATTGTTTTGATTACCCCTGCTGTGTATGTAATAAGTAAATTATACTGAATTTAACCATGAATTCCTCCTTATGTCCTCCTGTCTTGTCTCATCTGGTCTTATGTCCTCCACTGTTTAATCCTACGTCTTTTTTTAAGTTTTACATTCTTGTGAGATGTGCATTATGAAAATAGTTTTTTTTTTCATATAAAAAAGATTCTCCCATCTGTTTTGCTTTCCTATAGTCAAATGAATACTTCCAAATAGAAGATGTTGCTAAGAGACAAATATAATTTGGAAATTAGTTCAGTACAGTGTGCAGACTCTTTGCAAAGACCCGGAATTAGCATTAAGATTGCTAAAAGTTTTCAGCACACGATTACTTCCAAAACAACTTCAATTACATGGATGTGCTTTCTGAGACAACCAAATTCATGTTCATGGGGTTTCACACAGAGACTAACAAAAAACAACTGATCGCTGCAGGGCCAGGCTTAGCATTTAACTAACCAAAGCAAAAACGGCTTACTTTCAAGAGGCTGTGTTTAAAAGAGCACCTTTCTTGTGCCAATGGCTGCAGCCGAATGTCCCGCGGGTATAAAGGAAGGTCAAAAGCAAGGAATCGGAGGCTCCATGCCAGGTAGACGGCTGCCGTCACAGTGACTGCACATTAACACACGCTCTATCAAAGTGGGTGTGCGCCATTAAGCAGCCCCTTAACACTGCCTTGCAAACTAAATCACAACATCTGCCACAGTGCTGGACAAATGGACAGGAGGCACACCAGGCCCCATCCTGAAGCCCCGTGTCATTAATTATGTTGAAAAGAAGAAGAAAAAAAACATTTCGAAGGGCCAATGAATTTCACAGCACACTATAAGCATCGTCTCCGAGTGCATGACCTGCTTTATAAAGCGGTCTGCTGCACAGTCATTATGACAGGACTGTGATAATACCATTTTGGGGTTGTTTGTTTATTTTTGTGACCCCATAAAACATACTCACTAATTACTTTGACTTTAAAACCTCTTTTTGTGCTTTATGTATAGCAAGTATAGAAGCTAGTGTAGTAAGGTGCGTGTTACTAACTTCTCTAATCCATACAGTTCAATTAGATGTCTTTTGCCTTGCTTGATCTGTGTATATTTGTTTTTAAAAAGTCTGGAAAAATAAAATACTGGTACTTATGTGAACTTTACAGAAAGTTCTTAAGTTGTGGAGACTAAACGAATCAACCAATACCAATTCTAATATACTTTCAAAACCTATGAAATGTCTGTTTTTTATTTTTATTTTTGCAGAAATATTTATTGAGATGAACTAGTCAATACAATCCTTAAATTACAAACTTAAATTGGAAAGACTGAAATAAACCCATCTACTAAAAAGAAGAAAAAAAACTACATGATGAAAAAGATGCTGTTAAATGTCAGAAAATGATCAGTATTAGCACACTAAAAAACCCTTTGGTACATGTGATACATTTTCTGCATTTGTAAGATTGTACTAAAATACTACTTTGTCTCTTGCTTTGATGTCTGTGCTCGAGCCTATTCTGCTTATAAGCATTCCTCTTCTGAATTTCTAATGCGCATGTTCAAAAACAGGAACAGAAGAGTGCAATGTGCTGCAAATATGTTGCATGATAATCTAATTTTTGCTAATGACCTGTGATTTTCATTGATGTTTCTTATTCTCTAGTTTGACAGCTCCAATTTACACATCTCTGCCTCCTCATTAGGCCATAATGAAGGGATAGGTGGGAATAATTGATGAGCATAATGCAACAGCAATTACAGAAATGGCAAGACAGTGCCAGATATCACAGAATGTATGTGTGGGCATTATTTACCAAAAGGAAAGACATGCTGCTAATTTTCCATTTCTCTCCAAGAATTTAATGAAGATATTCAACA